GGAGGGGGAGGGGGACGACGACTGGCATTTAAGAGAGGCCACAAGCAAATAATTTCAAAGTCATCAGTGAGAGCTAGGGATGTAAGCGACTAATCGACTATCTGATAAGCAAAAGCTTATGGTCCTGATGCTACTCAGAACCAAATCTACAATAACACTCCTCCTAATCCACAACTGTCTATCTACTACCCAAAATACACAAACCTGGTAATCCCGGATGACGCATCATCTCCAGCATTGGCACACTCACCGCAGGATTATCCGGCTATATCGACTCCCTCCTCAGACCCTATGCCACCAACACTCCCAGCTATCTCCGCGATACCACTGACTTCCTGAGGAAACTCCAAAACATCAATAATCTCCCTGAAAATACCATTCTGGATACCATGGATGTAGAAGCCCTCTACAGTACACCAACATTCCACATGAAGACGGATTACAGGCCATCAGGAACACCATGCCCGACAACAACACTGCACACCTGATTACAGAACTCTGCGATTTTGTCCTCACCCACAACTACTTCCAACTGAGAAATAATTTCTATCTCCAAATCAGAGGCACAGCCATGGGCACATGCATGGCACCACAATATGCCAACATTTTTATGGCTGACCTTGAACAACATTTCCTCAGCTCTTGCCCCCTAACATCCCTTCTTTACTTACACTACATTGATGATATCATCATATGGACACATGGTCAAGAGACTCTTGAAGAATTCCACCAGGATTTCAACAACATCCACCCCACTATCAACCTCAGCCTGGACCAGTCCACAAGGGAAATCCACTTCCTGGACACTACAGTAAAGTTAAATAATGGACAACTTTCAACCACCCTATATCGTAAACCCACAGACAGCTACACTTACCTTCATGCTTCCAGCTCCCATCCCATACACATTTTTCAGTCGATTGTATACAGCCAAGCCCTACGATTTGCTCCTACCCCACAGACAGAGACAATCACCTACATGATCTTTACAGAGCATTCATAAATCTGAGATACCCTCCTGGGGAAGTGAAAAAACAAATTGACAGGGCCAAAAAAAGTACCCAGACATGAACTACTTCAAGACAGACCCAAAAGAGAAAATAACAGAACTCCTCTTGTTATTACTTACAATCCACAACTCAGACCCCTCCAACACATTATACACAATCTACAACCCATCCTGGGAAATTATCCCTCACTCTGAGGCCTTGATAGAAAAACTTATTCTTGCTTACAAACAACCCTCTAACCTGAAACGTATTCTTTCTGATAACCATGCCACACAACCACATCATAAGCCTCCAGGAATCCGGCCCTGCAACCAGAAAAGACGCCAATTCTGCCCACATATTTATACTGACGAATTCATCACTGGAGCAAACAACACTAGCCACAAAATCAAAGGGTCACTTGACTGCTCATCTAGTAATTTGATCTACACCATCAAATGCCAACAGTTCCCCTTTACTATATATATTGGTCAAACTAGATGTTCTCTACGTGAAAGAATCAATGGATACAAATCAGATATACGTAAAGAAAATACTCAGAAGCCAGTGACAGAACATTTCTGATTACCTAACCATAATCTCACAGATCTGAAGGTGGCGGTCTTTTCACAGGCCAGTTCCTCAAGTCAAATCCACAGGAAATCTTGGAATTACAATTCATATGCAAATTCAATTCAATTAATTATGGACTCATACAGTTACCTACATGCTTCCAGCTCCCATCCAGAACACACCACACGATCCATCGTCTATAGCCAAGCCCTTCGATACAACCGCATCTGCTCTAATCCCACTGACAGAGACCAGAAGCTTCAGGATCTCTACCAAGCATTTATAAACCTCAACTACCCACCCAGAGAAATAAAAAAGCAAATTGAAAGAGCCAGACGAATACCTAGAAACCATCTACTTCAAGACAGACCCAAGAAAACCAACAATAGAACACCACTTGTCATCACCTACAACCCCCAACTTAAACCTGTCCAACACATTATCAATAAACTACAGCCTATATTGGAACAGGATACCATACTCAAAGAGCCTCTGGGAGACAGACCCATAGTCTCCTACAGACAACCACCTAACCTCAAGATCATTCTTACCAACCACCACAGGACATACCACACTAATACCAACCCTGGTACCTTCCCTTGCAACAAACCCCGTTGCCAGCTTTGTCCACATATTCATTCTGCTGATACCATTATTGGACCTAACCAAGTAAGTTATAAGATCAAGAACACATATTCCTGCGCATCCAGAAATATAATCTATGCTATCATGTGCCGAAAGTGTCCGTCTGCTATGTACATTGGACAAACATCTCAGACACTTCGCCAAAGGATTAATGCCCACAAAACAGATATCAGACAAGATCACAAAGAGAAAACAGTTTCTTGCCACTTTAACCAGAAAGGACACTCTCTAAATGACTTAGCCACCTGCATTCTGCTACAAAGACCTTTTACATCTGCACTTGAAAGGGAATCCTCTGAACTGTCATTCATGTTAAAATTCGACACTTACCAACAAGGACTTAACAAGTCTTTGAACTTTCTCACCCATTACCAAGACAGTTTCCCCAATTATCACCTGTAATACCATTAACTCACAAACATCCCACTCTCCCTACCTTTAATATCAGCAATTCACAGACACTTACCTTCCTTCCTCCCCCTTCCCACCCCCCCGCATCCCCCTTCTGTTCTGCAATGTGATTTGTCCTTTTCATATTTGTTCATTTTTTTAAATTGTATCCTTTGGTATATATGGTTGTGACTACTTTCTTCCACTATTTGATCTGAGGAAGTGGGTCTGGCCCACGAAAGCTCATCATCTAATAAACCATCTTGTTAGTCTTTAAAGTGCTACATTGTCCTGCATTTTGCTTCAACTACCCCAGGCTAACACGGCTACATTTCTATCACCAATCTGGAGGGGAGCTAGAGCGTTAGTGTGGGAACCTTGAGTCTCGAGGGCCACACTCACGTGAGCTGGGGTATTAGGTTCCTCACCCCTGCTTTAAAAACAAAACCTCTTACTCTTAAAAATCGATCCCCGTATCTCTGGTCGGACCACCTTCACGCAGGTCCTCCGGGATGGAAAACTGCAGCAAACTGTATGAACAGAAACAAACAGAAGCCCCAATCGCAGCTGGAGGTGGGGCGAGGCTGCCCCAGCAGGGACACAACGGGGCAGCCGCCCCCCACCAGATCAGGAAAACAACCGCGCCATTCCCCGGCCAGCAGGAAGGCGAGTGCCGCTGCAAGGCTCCGCAAGGGAGGTGGGCGGCAGAGGGGTGTTTGTGCGCGGCCGCGCGCCTTCAGCGGCAACTCCCCTGGTGCCCCCTTCTCTAGTCCAGCCAGGCCTAAAATGCTCAGTGCTTAGAAGGCGGGTGGGGAACCTAAGGCCTGGGTGCGTGGGGCTCCTCCACCGTCGCCCCCTCCCCACGCCGTGGGGCTGGAGCGCACAAAGCGACTAGGCTGGGCCCTGCAGTGCTCTGGCGCCAGGGGGACGTTTCTCCGCTCAGCTGGGGGCCAGGCAGGGAGGCTTTTCTGTCGGTTGGTTTGTCTGTCACCTGTTTGCCCCCCAATTCTCAGCCACTCCCCCCCTCTCCCCACACGCCCCCACCCAGGACGCTCTAAAAGCTTATGGGATAGTCAACACACTAGGCCTACATCTACACTGGCATGATTTTCCGGAAATGCTTTTAATGGAAAAGTTTTCCCTACATCTACACTGGCATGATTTTCCGGAAATGCTTTTAAACAGAAAACTTTTCCATTAAAAGCATTTTCGGAAAAGATCTTACATGAGATCGTCAGTGCTTTTGCGGAAATTCAAGCGGCCAGTGTAGACAGCTGGCAAGTTTTTCCGGAAAGCAGATGATTTTGCAGAAAAACTTGCCAGTCTAGACACAGCCTAGTGGACTAGTTGCTTCTCCTCCTTGCTGCCTCTATCACAAAGAGGCAGCAAGAGGGGGATAAAGGAGGGGTTGCTGGGGGAGCCAGCTTAAAAGTTGGTTCCCACCACCTCCATGGGAGGGGGCAGGGACACAGAGCTCCAACTATGAAATGTACAAGAGTCCCCACTGGGGCTCTTGTACATTTCAAAGCAGAGCGCCCCATGGAACCTGGGGTCAGCGGGGGGTGGGGGAAGAGCCATGCACCGCTTCCACTTTGAAATGTACAATAGCCCCAGCAGGCACTCTTGTACATTTCAAGGTTGGAATGCCACGTGGAGCACAGGGGCGTCCCCCACAGACCCTGGGCTCCATGTGGTATTTCAAAGGCGGAATGTGCTAGCCCTTATCGACTAATCAAATAGTCGATGGATATGCCATTGACCAATTGATTATTTAATTAATCAAAATTTAAAATCCCCAGTGAGGGCAATTATGAAAATCACATCGAGATTTCAAAATGTGAGAAGACTCTCATTAAATTCTGCTAACGCTTTAGAAGATGCACACCACGCATATTCATAAGTGACTATCATTAAATGTAACTATATTATTATGCACCTTTTTTTTTAAAAAAAACTTCAAAATCACATAAGATACTTACACATCAAAGGCACTAAACTCCAATGTTAAACGAGCTGGCAGACCAAAAGGATCACCTGGATAAAAACAGTTTATTTTAAATAACAGCAGCAGCATCTGTGTCACAATAAAAACAAAGACAGTTTCCAGAATCAAGGGACTAATCCTCACCTTGAAGCATATATGACTAGGATACGAATCTGTTTCTTATATAGTTACAAATTATATATCCAATAGAAAAAAAACGGGAGTTGTTTATCCCTCTTATGAGTGGGGAATATTTTGTGCATGGAACAGAAATATAATTAAAAGACAGTCACAGGAGAAATTCTGCTTTGCGGAATAAGAAGTTGCGTTTCCACCTACCATTATAATAGTAGCCTTTGATACTTTTGGGAGTCTCATCTAGTCTATACTCATTGAGTTTCTTCTGTGTCAGCTCATGCCAGAACCCCACATCCAAGGCACTAGCGAAGGGAGCGAACTGCAGCTGCGGGATTGGAGGCTCCCGGGGAGCGCAGGTCTCACTGGCCATCCCTTTATTCTAGCAGCGCTGTTAAAAAGAGACACACAAGTGCTAGGACACGACTCATTGCTGCTAGCCACTGACGGCGTTGGAGGGCTCTTTTAACGGTATTTTTATTCGCACCGCCGCTCAACGTCTCTTCCAAACCAGCGCCGCCCGTTTAGCGCACGGGCCCCGCTCGCGCTACACGCACGACGCGGGAACTGACTTTGCGGAAGGGTTGGGCGCCCGCGCCCCTCCCGCGATGTCAGCTCGCGCTTCTTCGGGGACGCGTTTTCTTCCGCGTGCTGAGGGGAAGCAACGGCTCA